TATATATATATATATATATATATATATATATAATTAAAAAGTTTAAGAAAGATAAAACTAAAAACAGAAACTCAAGCCTTCCAGAGCTTCTCAGAGATTCACCAACGAGAACATCAGAAAAAGCACACAAAAAGATGTGCAACAAATACAGATATTTAACCAGTCATTTAAATCTTGAACAACTTTGAGATGAGAACAATTAAAAATGTGGAAAATAATGTAACCGATTTGTATAATCGGGTCATGTTCTGAGTTTATAAGATAATACATCAATATAATTTATATGACAAATGCTTTAAAAGAAATTTTGTCAAGAAAACACTTTAATATGTTCTTTTTAAAAGACAAATGTACCTTTTCCACCAGATTTAGAGGAGGAAGATATTTGATCCTAAGGCTGGTGCTCATCTGTAGCCCTAAGGGGCACCACCAGGGGGCTCTGGCTTCAAAGCCAAGTGCACCTTGGGGCAATTGATTACAATATGGGCATGTTTTCTATCTTTCACGCACAAGCAAGGGAACTCATCAGAGTTTTACTAACATAATAAAAAGACAGCATACTTACAGTTAAACCTGGAATAATAATAAAAAACACTTTTATCTACCCCTTTTTAATGAAACAAGCTTCTTAGACGTCAATCTGCAGACAAGGAATTTGTTGGAATAAAACAACTATCTAAATTAAGTAAACATACTATATACATATTCCCACTCAGATTGTAATGTTTTTTAATGCTTTTGATGAACAGTCATCATTATTTTGCTGTCCTTCAATCAAAACATACATTTCATTTAATATTTCTCAATGTTGTTAGAAATGATTGAAAGAACATATTTGCAGATTTGGCAGAAGAAATGCCCAGAGAAATGAATGTTCATCAGTGAGCTGATAACTGATTTCTCTATTGCATACACTCAGAGACCCATCCCACCAGTCAGCATGTCTCTGTGTCTCTGAGACCCAAATGGTTTACCTTGTTCCTAATTCCCTCTGTTTATTGTATTTATTTGTATCAAAGCCTCCACATTTTGCAAGACCACCGTGGAAGTGGTGATCAAACATGGAAAAAGAGACAAAATACTCAGCTTTTACAGACCAAGCCTCATGGGGTGAAGGAGTGTGTGTGCATACGTGTGTGTGCAAAAGAGAGGGATTCCACAATGTGAAGTGCTGACATCTGCTGCAGGCTCTTGCAGGGATGGAATGTGATACTCTCCTTTACACAAAGGGCCTCGGCCCTTGGAGCAAGCAGATGAATACCCCCACCACCTCCAATCCCCCATCCCTCCACAAGGGCAACACAATTATGAAATGACTGCAGCAATGTGCCATACCTATTTTCTTCAAGCAGTTTACTTTGATTAGAAAAACAAAAACTCCTCCAAACCTTCATGCCACAGATAGGACTGCTCTGTGCTTTCTTTGAGGTGGTAGTTTCTGAGCCATGCGAGACTGGGGGTAAATTGCTGCAGCATTGCATCATGCGTCAAACTCAATTGGTTCAATATGTCTCCAGAACTCCTTTGATTGTTGTGTCTGTGCCGCAGCAGATTTGACCTACAGCGTGGGGATACACTGGTGGATTTAGCCAACAATGGGGTAGGAGGAACCACATGAAACATAGTTGATGAGGTACTGCGCTGTGCTGGAAAGAAAAGGAAATTAGGAACAGGAGGGAGTATTGTTCCAAGCAGCGTTTCTGCTTTGATAAAACAAATTGAGAAGTCCTTTAACATTTCCTTCCACCGAAACATTGAGGATAAGTGAAATTAGCCTTCAAGTGGATGTTTTTTTCCTCTTAAATCCTCTGTGGTGGGAGGTTAAAGTAACATGTTAAGGTTAGAAACAATAGTTAAAAAATAAAGTTGTTTTTTTGACAACTTTGCCTAAAAAAGTCATTGGTCTGTTATTTCATTGAAGGACTCAATGTTCCAGATTTGTTAAACCATGACACAATGGGTCAACTAATTGAAACACTAGTAGGAAATGTGTCAGTTAAACACCATAAATTGTCTGTGTTTACGTTATTTTAAAGAACCATTTGTTTATTTCGATCAAAAAGGTGTTTCAACCCTTTAAAGCCTTGACCATCAAATAATTGACAGTTTATTAGAGTTGTCATTGAACTTTCTGATAGATGACATCAAAAAAGAAAGTTGGTATAAGTTATATTAGATCATTTATTTGCATCAAATTTGATACATAAGACATTTCTCGATAATCTTTTAAACATTTTCTGTTCTCTACAAGCAACTTATTGTGCAAGTCAGGGTTTTGAAGAATAAAAATATAACACTGATGATGTAGAGGTCTCAAAAACCTATGTATCAAATATGATACAAATTGCTTTAAAGAGTTAAGAAAGATAAGAAAAATGTATACTATAATATTTTACTGCTGTAACACCACATTTTGCCACTTATTGGGCAATAGAGAGATTTTCTATTCTTTTTCTATTCTAAAAAACAAAAAAAGTAAAGCAATTAGAAGAGAGATTCAGTCTTATTACAATATGGCTCTGCCCTGTTTAAATCCTGGAACTTCAAAATGATGATAGTTAGTCTCTGGATGACAGAGTGGCAATGCAAAGAACCTCATAAAACCACACAGCAGCGTAATAGTTAACATCCAGGGGAGTTTCCTTGACTGGAAAGTTGTGCTTTATGCGCAGCACCTGTTGTGCCGTCAGTTGCCACTCGCCAAAAACCCAACCCCGTCCGCGCAGCGATATTTTATCTCAGTCTACGAGTTATGACTCTTGACTCCGCCAGACAACAGATCTCGTCTCAGTGGTGCGGATACTTTTCTCCTGTTGGACTGTATCAGGTTGCTGGACTTCCTCACAGGCTGTCTGTGTGAGCGCTTTGGGTCTAATGCGCAAAGATCTGCTGGGATTTCTATGAGGGGGAGTAGAAGGCACCCTGAGCGCGCATTTGCACTGAAATGCATCTGTGTATTTTTGATCATCCAGTACCTTAGAAGAAATGCTTGCATAAAGGCGATTTTCCGGGATTCAATTGCTTAAATTCTCTTCAGCACAAATATTCTACGTTCACCAGAGCCAACAGGTGCGCACTCGCGCTGCACAACAAGTTTTGAAGCCTTGGAGAGGTTTCCTTTTTCCTTATCCTTATTTTTGTTTTTAGATATGAAGAATAACATATGATAAAGACTATGTGGATTTTAGTCATCGCTTATTTTCTCCAAATGTGTCCAAAACAGCATTTGTTTCCCGTTAATGACGCATGTTTGTGGTGATCCAGACCAGAGTCCAGCTTTGTGATCGCCAACTTCCACTCATCCAAATGATCCTTTCATTATTAATCCTTCTTGCATCGCTTCTCCAACAATATGGCACCGAAGCAGAGTCCAGTGATATCAGCAAGTTTCAACTTTCAAATATAAAGGAGCCAAACGGTACGTTTTTATTTTTTTTGAAGTTATTAAAAAGTTTAAAGCAGTTAGGGTTCATTTTTTTTCTTGGCTCAAAGCCACGCTAAAAAATACTCATTAGAAATTGTGTCAAAGGTTGCATTTGAGTTGGTTCAAACAACATTGCCCATGATGGGAAGTTGCAAATTACCTTTCACCTTTAAGTTTACCCGTGTATGTATACTTAAGAGGGGAAACCCTCCTGAAATTCCTTGTCCCTGGGGATAAGTTTTCCAAAGGAGGGTAAAAAAGGACTCCATTCATCCAAAAGAAATCGCCCCAGGCCATGTAATTTACTTACCTCACTGAACTGACATTGGATCAAGTGTATTAATTCAGAAATTATGTTTTGTAGGGTTTCATGTTCAGCTCAAGTTAAGGGAAGGTTTTCTTCTGACTGAATTAGTTTATATTTTGTTTAGAAGGAAATTTGACAACCTAGTTCTTTGTTCTTGAAGAGCTGGGAGAGTGCAGCAATGGATGCAGAGAGCAATGTCTTTTAGAGCTCAGTCAAACAACTTCTTAAGCTCTAATAGTGTTTTTCATGACTGACAGTAATGATATTTAATTAGAAAAAATATCCTACAACTTTCTTAACTGTAGTGTGCATTCTGAAAAGAAAGTCTCAATCATGCCATGCTGCTGGGAAAGAAAAAAACTTTTAAAAGAGTGGATAAGTCATAACATTTGTGGGCTTTTAGTTAATACAGCAAACAATTAACAAGTTTTGTAAAAAAAAAAAAAAAAAAAAATCAGTTTTTACTAAGATCTTCAATCATTAACAGAACCCTACAAGGTTGAAGTTAGTGATTTAGTCAGGTGCCAAATTTTGGGATAAGCCACTTCAATTCCATTACCCACCTTGCTCAGTATTCAAGTATGGTGTATTGTCAGGAGTTTATCTTCTTTTGATTGCTGCATGGTTCTATGTTGTAAAGTCTTGTGCTTCAAAACTTTTAAAAACTTTTTCTGCAAAGTGTGAAAGGTGAAATTAACTTTCACTATAGATCTAATTTGTGAAATAAAGTCTAATATAAGAGCTTTTCATGCTACAATGTGTAGTATGGGGGGGGGGGGGAACATGTCCTTATTCTAAGATCTTGTAGATGTGTCAAATTCCATTTATTAGCCAGGAGGTTTCACAGGCTGTATGTAACTGACGCGCAACACTGACTTCACTACAGTAACAGTCAAGGCTGAGAAATCACAGTCCCTCAATGGGAGTTTCAGGTTTAATCAGGATAAGTGAGGAGGGAAAAACAACAAGGATGAAAGAGGGATGGAAGAAGTATAAGACTGGTTTCACTTTGGTTGAGAAGTTGGTAAGGCCATCTGTGACCTTTTAACTGGAGTGTCTGAATGCTCACTGTGCTGCCTCACTTGATTTCTGATGCAATGAGACACAATGTGATATTGATCTGATTGTGGGGAGAGAGCCAAACCTGTCTGGCATGTTTAAAAGTACTTGCCTTGAGAGTTATGGACCCCAGTTGTATCAAACTCTGCAACTGGCTGTTGATGACTGTAAGACATCAGATGGGAACACCAGCTGAGAGCAATGCTGTAAAGAGAACCAGTCAGACTAAATAATGCAAGAAAGAAATGGGTATTAATGCTGCTGTATAAAATGAACATGTTGCTTATTTATTGTATTTTAATCATACTAGAGATGCAAATGAAATAGTGCAAGTGATATTCTACTTGCACTATTAGAGGGCTGCTCAGTGGGTGCAGTGGGTAGCACTACTGCCTTGCAGCAAGAAGGTTCTGGGTTTGAATTCCAGCCCATGGTCTTTCTGCATGGAGTTTGCATGTTCTCCCTGAGCATGCATGGGTTCCCTCTGGGTACTCCGGCTTCCTCCCAGAGTCCCAAAACATTAGTGTTATTTTAATTGGCTTCTCTAAACCGGAGGTCTTCAACCGGGAGTCTGGAACCCCCAGGGGGTATGCGGAGGTACTGCACAAGGCTTGCAAAAGTTTTGGTTGATTAGACTTTTTTTATAGTCCCCCATGCAATTTTTTCCACTAATTGAAATGTCTTTAAATACACATTATTATGAATTTTACACTCTGTAGTTAACAGATGAATGGAGGTAGAAGATGTCTTTCAGTCATCAATGCACACATTCAGTGACACACAGGAGCTCTTTCAAGCTGGGCACCGTTTTGTTCTCAACACCTGTCCCATCAACCAGGAATCAGAATCAAAAATACTTTAATAATCCATGAGCCAAATTATTTTCGTTACATGACTCCATCTGTAATAGAATGATTAAGGACCAGTTCCATATAACACAATTTCATACAATATATATAATTAGGGGGTCCCCGCTCCATCTCGCCATCATCCTTGGCCTAGAAAACGTTGAAGACCACTGCTCTAAACTCTCTTTAAGTGTGAGTGTGTGATCGAATGGTTGTTTGTCCTGTTTGTCTCTGTGTTGGCTTTTCCCCCTGAAGACAGCTGGCGATAGACACCAGCACCCCTTGTGACCCCCGCTTGGGATAAGCGTGAAAGAAAATGGATGGATATTCTACTGCTACCTATAGTAAATGCCTAATATCTAAACGATAAAATGAGTGATGCAGTATATCATTTAGAAGAGCAACATTAATGCATAAAGTTTGCAAACAGAAGTCCACCAGCCAGACCAATCCGACAGCATCTTTTTCACATCTTCATCGTAACTTTTTTGTAATTAATATATTTTATTGGATTAATAAATTGGATAAGGCTTCTACAACCACTGTCATGTCATTAAAAATAAAGAAAATTAGGCTAAAATTAATCTACTTTATTCGATTTACATTTGAAGATCCAGAAGTAAACCTGAATTCTAATGCTCTCTATACTTTTGTTATGGCATCTAGTTTTTCTTTCTACTATAACATGCTTCAGCATTGTTGGGTCTTGTGCTGTTTTTTAAACTTCCATTATAAACAAAACAATTATTTATACCCTTATCTCACAGTTAATATCATTTCATTCACAAAATTAATTGTGTTAAACTGCAACTTCTATGTTTTAGTCAAACACATACAAGGACCATTTTCTGAATAGGAAGGAAATAATGCATACATTTTCAGAATTTTTACAAAACTACAAACATGTTTGCATCACCCTCTGTTTCTCAGAAGCTCTTAAATAAAGTTCAATGTTACCAGTTCAATGCCACAGTCACATAATTAGAGTGCACCAAGAGAAGAAATCTCCCTTAAAGGTTAAGCCATACCAGGAACACATCAAACATTTGGAAGATGAGAATTTTTGTTTGTCTTTATCTGAGTTTAGATGATGTTGTAGATGAGTTTAAGACAATAAATACAAGCCATTGGATACAATTTAAAGTAGAAACAATTCAAAGGTATAAGACTTGAGTTTGATTCCTGGTCTGAAACTAGATTCTAATTACAGTTTATATCTTCTAAAAAAATATCATAATAAAGGTACATAACTTTCTTATATTGTACATAATTCACAAGTTTAAATGGGCATAGTCTTGTTCTATGACTTGACATTTATATGCCAGTAGTTCAGTCTGGTTTCATGCAGTGTTTGAAAAAAATACATATTTTTGGCATGTTATTGATGTTAGTGTTTTACTCTTTATTTGTGCTCAACTTGTTAGTAAATTAAGTCCCTCAGTATATTTACCATATAAAAAGATCATACTGATTAATAGCATTACTTTCCTTAATGATGGGACTGTTCTGCTCTTAGGTCTGATAATGGTCTTGTCCATAGACATGTATATAAATAAGCCCTGCATGGACCACTATCGCCTGGAACTGGCGAGACTTGTTGCCCCTACCTTGTACAGGTCCAGTGCTCTAAGATGGCATCTTTGCAGAACAACACTGTCATCTTTTTTTTCTGTTATAGTTTTGTTTCTGTATTTTGCAAAATATACACAAGATATCAAATAATAGTCTCCTTAATCATTTCTTCAGTCTGGTAATTCTTACGTCCCTGGTCATTTCTTTGAGTAAACATTTTCCTTATTGTCATTTTGTATACACAGTGTATACAAAACGAAATTTTGTTTTGTACAGCTTTCATGACATTTCCATTTCTTAAAGTGCAGCAGTGATCAAATGTAAACAGTGTGGGAGAAAAAACATTATGGAAAAATGCATTGATATGGACGCTTAAATCATTAAATGTATATGGTGTATTTATGCAGTGTTTTGGTTTGGTGTTGTCAGTGTGAGGCAGAGTCTTTGACATGTTTTAGAGTATTCCCAACAGTTCAGCTATCAGATGGCAGTGGAGAAGCAGCTGTTTTGGAATCTGCTGGACCTGCATCGAATGCTGCGAAGCCTCTTCCCAAAGGGCAGCAGGGAGAACAGTCCATGGTGGGGGTTTAAGGGGTCATTGATAATGTTACACACTGCACAGGGATGAAATGTCTTTTATGGAGGGAGGAGCCCCCATGATCTTCTCTGCTGTCCTCACCACTATTCTCACCTTTTTCCAGTCTGAGGTGCTGTAGCCCCCACACCACACAGTGGGACAGCTGGTCAGAATGCTCTCTTTGGTGCTTCTGTGACCAGTGAGGTGGTGTTTACAGTCCAGGTGAGGTTGTCTATGAAGTGAATTCCCAGGAATTTGGTGATGTTGACCACCTCTACAGCTGAGCTGTTGATGACCAGTGGAGCATGGTTAGGCCGCTTCTTCCTTAAGTCAACGATGATCTCCTCCTTCTTCTCCACATTCAGGATCAGGCTGATATCTCTGCACCAGACCAACAGCTATTCCTCCTCCCCTCTGTAGTACTGGTCATTGTCATCTCATCTCTGATGAGGCCCACCACCGTAGAGTCGTCTGCAAATTTCATGTTGTGATTGGTGGTGAACTTGGTTATGCAGTCATGTGTCATCAGGAAAAACAGCAGGGGGCTCGACGAAGAGCAGAGGGGTCTTCAGTGGAGCAGTTTTGTCGGTAGGTGAACTGGGACGGGTCCAATGTTGGGGGGAGACTGGAG